CTCCCCGCAGCCACAGAAAGCACCTCTTCCTCCTCCTCCTCCTCCTCCGCCTCCTCCTCCTCCTCCTCCTCCTCCTCGTTCTGGCGTTCCAACGCGGGTTTGCCTTGCCGTGCGCCAGCGAGGTGGCAACACCCGAGCGGCCCCCGCCCCGGGCCCGCGGGCTCCGGCAGGGCTGCCCGCTGCCCCGGGCGGCTCCCGGTCGGGCAAGGCCACAAGCAACACGCCGCTCCAGCCAAAGCGTTTCCCTGGGTGCAGAGGTTACGAGGCCCTGTTGCGCAGAGGCCCTGTGTTACGCGGAGCCTCGAGAGCTGAAATGTCGTCTCACGGCTCCCTGGAGCGGTCATCTTCAGCGTCTCACAGGCAGCAACGACTGTGGCTCCCGCGCTAACAGCTGGAACGGCTGTTCTCTTCAGGGTCGTGAATGTACAACGCAGCTGTCAGACAAGCCCCAGCTACAGCAAAACTATCTTTCCTCCTGCTGCACATGCTTTTTTTGCTCAGCACACAACAGTGGTCAGACAGTGACTCATCCGATAGGGATATATTCATTTAATTACCACTTTTTGATAATATGGGTTAAGTATAGCAGAGTATAACCTCTTCATGAACTGCAACCTCTCCAAACGGATCCATTTCACTCTTTACCTGGAAGTTCTTTCTTGACCACACGTATTCCTTGCTTCCCAGGTGCTCTTCGTTGTTGTCTTCAGGCTTTTCTTCGACCCTGCGCACTCTTCATTTCTCTCTGTGTTTGTGCTCCCAAGCTTTCTACACATTTGGGTTTTCTTGGCATCATCTTTCCGCTCAACTCTTTCCTTATTTTTCCTGGCCTTTCCACCCCTTTCCTCTGACACAACAGGCGTGTGACTCTTCCTAAAATGTTTACAACTCACATTCTTCATTTTCATCTCTTTTCCTAATTATTTTTATGAATCCTATCCTGTGAAACACAAAGTTTGAGCCTTATGCGGCAAATACCGTACTAAGATAGTATTTAAAAGGTGTTTAACAAATATGTAGTTGGCGTATTATTAGCACAGGAAGGTAATTTTGGTCCAGATTCAGCTACCGAGGTAACGAACATATGAGAAGAGGACGGCCTTCGCTGTCTTTGTGGTAGTAGGAAGGTTGTTACCGCAATAAGGGTATAAAGATACAGGTTGGTTCAGTTGGATAAAACAAACAAGTCTGTGGGACTGACAGAGGGCCTGTGTGTCCACAGGTACTCTTGGCTTCACATTTCTTTGCTTGTTGAGGGAAAATGGTCCTTCTACCCCCAGCTGTTTTGGGGAGATAATTGCAAAGGGCATGTGTTACATTGATCTCAAAAAATGAGCAAGGAAGAAGTAGTATTTTTCATTTGGCCGGCTTATATAGTTACACAAAACAGCCAGTCTCCTGAGCACACAGGTCCTTCTTCTAATGTGAATTACCTGTAGCGGTTTAATATTTCAAGAAACATTTATCTGGGCTTATTATATAGTAAATATGAATGAAAGCATGAAAGTAACACCATTTGAATGTTTGAAGACTCCATACTATTTTCCCACTTGCTTTCCAAGAGAAAAAGTTCCACAATCTGCTCTTTTTCATATTTGATTTTAATCGTGTAGCCTTGTCATAAATTTAGTAATTAAAGGAGTCTATTGTTGCTGGCTGAGTGATTGAAATGTAAAGGCTCCAGATAGTTAAGGAGTTCTGCGTGTAACTGGCGTAGAAAAAGAGTAATATGATACGTTCTGCTGATTTTTAACTCCTGAAACCTGTTTTCAATTTTTGCCAAAATCAGTAGAGTCATGGAACACTTATGAACCTGAAGGGTTGAGATTATTAAGGTTCAAACAATTGCTGTGGGATGGCTCGACGATTGAGATTAACTAGGCCTGCTCCAGCCTGCAGCAAATCAATTACCTTCAGGCTGTTTTCTTTTATTAAAACTCTTCAGGCAAATTATTTCAAAAGGTACCACCCACAGAACCTGATTACAAAGGCACGTACTACTAAACTAAACAACTCTAAAGATTTTAAAAGTTGTTATAACAATGCAAAGACGGAATATCACATTTGAACGTAAAGGTGCCCATATTCAGCAACTATGGATCGCTAAAGAAAACCGTCGACGCCACTTCAAAAGAGCTGCAGTAGAGCAGTATACCTCTAAAAATAAAATGACACTTGCTTCAATCTGTAAGAGACACAAGTAGTAAGAAATAAACCTTGGGTTTATATCATCGCAGGAGCTGCATATTTTTTCAGAAGTGCTATGTTTATTTCCAACATCATGTTTCATACAGAGTAGCTCATTACTAATCCTGCACATCACAGCGAAAGGAGTGATCCCAATAAGCCAGCACATACCTTGCTGTTTATAACAAAAAGCGGGGGGGGGCAGGGGAAATGTGATAACTCTGAAAGTAAATGTGATTTCTCTCAACTCTTGAGGGTGCTGAAGGATATATACTAGGCCATAGGAGAGACATCGTCTTAATCAGCTTAGCCTAACTTCTTTTGTCCAGGGACAGCAAAATCCGTAAGATGTTGCTCTGCAGTTTTCTGCTGTCCCAGGACAAAGCACATCGCGGAACACAACATTCCTGTTTCTGCTAGGTCTTCCCTATCCCTCTGACCACATGTTTTCCATGATCTCTAGGCTGTCTCTTCGTATTTCCAAATCACTCTGCCAGATATCAGCAACCTCAGGATGCCGAGTTGGATGGTGGCTGTGACACACGGTCAACGGAGATAACTCAGAGTCCTCAGGTATCAGGCCCCACCAGTAAAACACATTGCCTTGGCCGTTCCTACATATTCTCTAGCAGTGTTCATTCCTCAAGACACTGGACATGCACACCTCGTCACCAAATAGTCCAGAGTTTGCTTTCTTTTCCTCCACTCATTCTCATCTTCTGTACTGTCTCTTGCCGCC